AGATGCAGCTCGTTCAAGAACTTGTGCAAAATGATTTTGCAAAACGTGTTGAATTTTGTAACACTATGTTAGATAAATTTAACATGGATTTGGAATTTGGCAAAAAGATTGTGTTCACCGATGAAGCCACTTTTATGCTTCATGGATTTTATAATAAACAAAATTATCGATATTGGTGTCAAGAAAATCCTCACTGGATACGAGAAACTCGAACCCAGCGACCAGAAAAAATTAATGTCTGGACAGGTACAGTTATACTAGCAAATAATATTATTGAACCATTTTTTATTGATGGGAACCTAATTGCCGACAAATATCTTAATTTGTTGAGAGAACAAATTGTACCTGCTTTGGAGGCCCTAGGTCCAATTCATCAAATGTGGTTTCAGCAAGATGGAGCCCCTCCACATTATGGAAGGGCCATAAGAGAATATCTAAATGAAATGTTTCCTGCAAGGTGGATAGGTCGCGGAGGTGCCATTAAATGGCCAGCAAGGTCACCCGATTTCAATCCGTGTGATTATTTTTTGTGGGGTTACTTAAAAAGTATAGTCTACAAAGAAAGATAAGTATATCTGGAAGATCTTAAAGCGAGGATCAGAATCGAGCTACAGCAAATTCGACACCACACGTTGGCAAAGTTGAGTGATTCGTTTTTAAAGAGACTAAGAATGTGCCTGAAATAATAATGGCCGTCATTTTGAACATTTAATGAATTAGTTCGCATCCGTTGCATTTTTTCATTTATCCTATTAAAATTAGCTTAAAACGTTGATCTTTTGATTTTTTGACTCCTTATTTTAGGACAAAATAAAATTATAAAAATTGAATTTACTGTATTTTTTCTTACGTGACCCCATTAAAATTGTATTGTATCGTATTTAGGATGGTCCAATGTATTAATTTTCACCAAAAAAGTATATGGTGCCGTTTAAAAAAATTAAGTCGGTTACCTTGGCAACCACATTTTTTGGTACGAAAGATTGCTTGATATCACTAAACGGGAAATAATTTCCCCCAACACTTTTATTAAAACATGTTTTTGATATGATGAATATTTTAAGAAGTATAAGCAATATTCCACAATTTGTATCCATATCGTATTTTCAAGATCTGGTAAGTTAGATCTCGATAAGTTTGTAATTAAAAAACCTGCCAAACTTCAGTATAAGGGAAGTAAAGCTATTAAAAGTGCAGCTTTGAAGCTGAGCGGTATCCAAAAGTTTATGAAATGTTCCATTTTTTCCAAGGTAGTCAGTCCAAACTTTTCTATAAAATTTGAAGACAAAGTAAAGATGACTGACAACTTAGTGGTAAAAATATTTTCTTTGAAGTTAATCCTTGTACTGAATGTATTGCATAAAACTCTGAACATAAAAAGTTACATAAACAATATTTTCATATATTTTTACATAATACTTTTGTGTTTATCTAGGAGCGACTATAATTTAATATTTCCATGGCTAATAATTAATTGAAAGAATAGCGTATATTTTTAGAATCCTAATACCTCATGTTGCCAGTAGCGTTAATAAATTAAAAAAAAAAACAGCTAATAAAATATCTTAGGAGATTATAAAATGATACATAATTAGTTACGGAAGATGAAGTAGTAATTAATTTAAAAAAATTATCTATCGCATTGTCCATTTTAGTGGTGCATTTGGAACTCGATAACTGTAAGAGATAGTTAAATGATTAGATGGGAAAATAATAGAATGTTCTGTTATTAATTTAAGGGCACTTGTAGATCAGTTCTGGTAATTTAGATTTTTGAGATATAAAAAGGAACCGAGAAACCATCATCTCCTTAGTAACTTTCTTTCTTGTTATGGGCATAGTAATACATTGAATGCTAATAAAAAAGAGTATTTTGAAGAATACAGTTCCGAGTAAAATTATCCGCAAAAAGTTACTATAATAATGTTTTCACAGATTTATAAAAAATTCGTAAAAATAAAAAAAATTGTTAATTTTTTTCAAAATATCTTGAAACCTTAAACAGAACCACTCTGCAAGAGGTTAAAAGTAGTTTATAGAGCAGTTAATAATATATTATTATATTTAGCCAATTTTCTATTTTTTATTCGAGATGCCAATATATGCATCACTAATATAGTCAACCCAGTACATGAAAAATGTTAAAATCAATCGTTGAAAATGGATATAGGCAAAAGACTATTCGAATCGTCTTAAGGTATACAGGGTGATTCATTAATAATTGTACATACGTTAACTGGATAATACTGATCTGAAAATATGAAGAATTTATGAAGAATTGACACATAACGCTTAGATAAAATAAGGCTCCTTACGGAGTTACAGGGTGTTTTATTTAAAAAAATTTAAATGGTTTTTGCCCATTACTTTATCTCTGTTAGATAATTCAACTAATGTAATGCAATCCAATGACAGAAGATACCGACTTAAATAATAATAAATATGACAAATAAATTATATAATAAAAGAAAAATGATTGTGCAGCCCTATGTTTAACTTTAAAAATCTCGAGAAATAATGACTTTACCGCTATGAAGGAATAGTAGGTTAATTGCATACAAAGCATTGAAGAATTAAAAAGTTATACCAAAATTAAAATTCCGCCAATGGCGTAGAAGTTAGGAATGGGAAACTGGCCCTCTACCTCTGTCGTACGCCACTGGTAGTAGTCATGAACGATTTTGTAGCAATTTTATTAAAAACATTAGAAATATTAGAACATATTAATGTTCTAAAGTATTAAAACTTTATGCCAAGTATGAAATATCAAGCAGGGTTAGAGTAATGGGAAAAAATTATTTAAAATTTTTTAAATAAACCCCCTGTAACTCCCTAAGAAACCATATTTTATCTAAGCGTTATGTGTCAATTCTTCATGTTTTCAGTCCAGGATTATCCACTTAGAGTATGTATAATTATTAATAAATCATCCTGTATATAAGTACGGTTATTAATATATTCTGCTAGTGTTCACGGCCAGCAGAAAACGGTAGCAACATATTATACTGACAGCAAATAATGTCGTCAGTGTTTTCTTTACGACGTTCATTGCTCACAGTGTACGTTGGTGTTTTCTGCCGGCAACGAACGTCAATAGAATTTTTTAGATGCTTTAATAGCACGTTATTGTTAGCATTCTATTCCTTAATAAAGAATTTAGTGTTCTTTAAGGTTATGGTGTATAGGATATTTACTTCAAAAAGTCCTACGATGTCTTGTAATGCTTCGCTAAGCAAACAAATTTCATTAGACTATATTGTACTGTTAGAAAGGCAAGCAAAAAACTAAAAAAACCACTGTATTCTAGTGACAAATCATACAAGATACGTTTGAACATTATTTTATATCTCCTACAACAACCAATACAAGGACCAATAGATATCAGTCAAAAATCAAGTTACTCAGGATTTGTTTGGGATAAATATATTAATATTGTTTAGCATGTATGATAGACCACGTATATTTAATGGTAATGCATATGCATTTTTGCTCCAGAAGTATGACACTTTGATCACTTTGCATATATTAATAACGTTTGCCCATCCAAATGTTGAATTTTTCAAAAAACGTTTTTCTGAAATCGTTTGGAAATGCGTACTACTTCGGTCCAATTTCATACCCCAAAATACAGTATTCTAGTATTTTAAAATAGGTAGAACTTAACTTTCCCCTACCATTTTTTTATCTACATTTTATACAATAAATACTCAAAATTATTTAGTAAATTTAGCATTTATTGAACGTATTCCACATATTAAACATTTATATTATTTATAGTTATGTTGCAGTGTGTACATTAAACATTGGCTGAACTTTACTCGAAAAACCGGCGACATTATTGCTGTTAATTATTTCTCCTTCTGTCATTGTATGCCATTTAGTAATCATGAAACAGTGATCCGGAAATCAATTCTTTTGTGATTAAATCTTACTACAAAAATAATGATTGTGTGGTCGCAATACAGCGGCAATTTTGAATTAATTTCAACATTGCTCGTCACGGGAGAGTTCTGCCATGCCATAAAGGAGTGGGTTCGTAAATTTGAAGATACTGAATCAGCTGAAAATGTCAAACATAAAAGACCAAACAGAAGTGTCAGAAGTCTTGAAAACATTGATCGCGTTAGAGCATCTGTAGAGCGCAGTCCAAAACGTTCAAGTCGAACACAAAGCCAGGCCTTGGGCGTATCTAGGGCTACTTAGAAATTTACACAAGGATCTCAATTTTCATCCTTACAAAATCCAGATTGTCCAAGCATTGAAACCAACAGATCTTCCTGTTCGCCTACATTTTGCTGAAACGATGCTACAGCATGCACTTGACGTTCACAATTTATGGATGTCTGATGAAGCGCATTTCCATTTATCTGGCTATACCAATAAACAAAACAGCCGTTATTGGGCTTTGGAAAATCCACAAGAACTTCATCAACAACCGTTAGACAGCCCCAAGGTAACAGTATGGTGCGCAATATCTTCAATGGGAATCATAGGTCCCTATTTTTTTGAGGATCACAATGAAAATGCTTTAACAGTTAATGCTGCACGCTATACTGACATGATTAACCAGTTCCTTACACAGCAACTGAACATGTTTCCACAGAACAATAGCTGGTTCCAGCAAGATGGCGCTACTTCACATACCGCAAGAGCATCAATGGATTCCGTGCGAAGATTGTTTCCAGGTCGTGTTATCTCCAGACACGGAGACATTGAGTGGCCCCCAAGATCGCCAGATCTTACGGCATGCGACTACTTTTTGTGGGGCTATCTAAAAAGCAAGGTGTTCATTGACAAACCACGAGATATTCGGGAGCTGAAAATGAAAATTCGGGAAGAAATTGCTAATATTCCGTTGGATATGTTGCGTCGTGTTATGCAGAATTTCAACGTTCG